AATATCATCTTCATGAAAATGTTTGGCACATACTACGGAAAATTTGGTAATTGTATAGCCTTCTCTATGAATAGAGCATAACCCAGTATACCTTCTTTGGGAAAGGAAAACTTTCTGCCTGTTTCGTTTTTAAAGTACTGGCATAATTGGTTTTGCAACCAGGTACACAACAATGCCAGGGCATCTGTAACAAAAAACAAAAGTATTATTATTGTTGTTTTTAGTTTACATATTTTGTAACAAAAAGCAAAAGTATTATTATTTTCAGTTTGTTTTGTAGGTTATATTTATATTTGCCTTTTAAATTGTCGTTAAGAATCTTCAAAAAGTTCTAAACTTAGTGAAATTTCACTTATATTAATATTTTTTAATTGATTTAAACACAATTTACAAATAAAACATTCAAATAAAGTTAAAAAACACTAAATTCGACAAACTTTACCAGCCTTCCTATATGAAATGTTAAACAAAACAAACCACGGTCGGACTACCACTCGTTGTTGCCAAATTTCTACTTCATGGCTTGGAAGTAAAGGTGGCTGTGGACTTACACATTATTTGTCCGTTATCTATAGCTGTTCCTTCAAAATTCCAGACCTCTCTGAAACTATTCCCGGGCACCGTCAGGGAACTAGCCGGAACGACCTTCCCCATTTAGAGTGTGGAACACTATTCTTTTGTATTAAGTCTTATTTACTAATTTTAATTTTTTTTGTATAATTTTTTTTTTGTATTTTAAATTCTACTATTTCATTTAATTATAAAGACCGTCATTTTTTTTAAATAATTGTAATTATTTATATAAACTAATAAAAATCATCCAAAGCTACGACGAGGAAACCTCCGATGGAGTCCGAAAAAAGTTTTTTCACCTTTGCTCATTTGAACTTGCTTGGAGATGCAATGAGGCCGTAAACTGAAAGATTCACTTTTTCCAGAACGAATTTCATATTATGGGAGAATTTAAGGGCCGAATAGAATACAACAGCATTTTTTCCAAAACAAATCAAAGCGGTTCGAAAAGTTTGGCAAGCAGCAAATGGCTGGTAAGTAATTCATCAAACCAAAATATATGCCGAGTAAGTTTATTTTTAAAATTAATGGAAAGAAGGGAACCAAAGATTTTCTCAGACAGACATTTTCTTACCGTTCACATCAACTGGATAGATGGAACCTGGTTCAAAAACAGTCCACTTGGAATCAACACCGTATCTAAGTGGACAAAATGTCAGCTAAAAAACATTGGAACAAACATAAAAAAACATAAAATATCAAATCAATATTATCGATCTTCAGCTGTATCAGCCTTGTTCAAGTAAGGTGTTTCTGAACAGGATTTAATTAAATTAACGGGTCACTCAAATGCAAGCTCTCTAAAAACATATCTACAGCTGAATTCCAGTCACCACCAGAAATTGATCGAAAATCACAGAACAAATGAAGCTGGACCTTCGAGTTTCTAAACGCCACAGGTCAATAATACACAAAATTATGCTTCGATAGAAAAGAAGGGGCAAACTACTATAGCTTAGAATTGTACATTTAATAGTGATAACAAATAAATAAAGATTATGTTTCGTTGATATGGTACATTATTTGTCTCGTCAAATAGTCTTGTCTAATATCATTCAAGAGAAAATTATATACCGGTAAAATTTTCTTCCTGTTTTATTCAAGTTTGTTGCCTTTTGGTGATTTTCGCTTATAAAATTTTGACACAATCACTCGACTGACTTCTCGTGATTTAACTGTCAAAATTTAAATTTAAATTTTGACAGTTAAAATTAAATTTAAATTTTCTGGCAACAAACTTTTATACCAGTTGAAAAGATTGCAAGTTGAAACAAAAAAGTGTAAGTAGTATTTATTGCACATGTTACAATTTGGATTTATTCCTTTATTAGTATGTAGTTAGTTGTGTATTTCTATACGTATTTGTGTATTTATTTTAATATTAGATACAATACACGTGTTAAGTTGTAAGACTTACTTGGACATTCCAATTATTTCCCGCAAATTCTTAAAAGTATCAAAATCCGATCCCTGGCACGAGAATTTTCACTTTTATAAAATATATATAATATATTCCACAGATAAGAGAAGTAAACTCTTCAACATCAACTAGGTCTTGTATTTTTTGCATTATTTCTCATTAAAACTCACATAAATGAATAAAATTAAGGACCTCATATTAATCTTGACGTTGGCTCTCAAAGATTATGGGTACCGCAGAACTGGTTAAAAATATTCCGTAATAAATCAGTGGATAAACATGCTGCTCAGGTATTTCAAAACCAGAAGCGCTCTTATACTGCTACAAAGAACGACAACAGAAATATTCTTGAAGAGGTTTAGAGCCATTTGTGATATCTGCAAGTAATGCTGTCTGAATTGTTGATAGGTATTGTCCTACAATAAAAGCAATTTTATTATTGCATTAGTGTTACTACTTATGACAATCATTATGTATTCTGAGGATATTAATACAACAATATAATTAATTGAGTAATACTATAAAATAGAAATATTGTTTTGGAGCTATTTTCTTATATTTTGTGATGTATACTGATATATTTATTGAACTAAGGTTTAGGTAGCGACAATTATACCATGTTCCGTTAAGAAAAAATTAAAATAATAGTAATACAAATAGAGCAGACGGACTTATTTGCATTAAACCATTTCTAAACGCAATATTGATCAAAATATAATACTTAAATTTTAAACATATGTTTGTCCTAGCTGTTATGCAAAGTCAATATTATATGGAGTGTTCTTCAGCATTTCCTTGGAACGTCGTACCATGTAACATTTTTTGTTGCTGAGACGCCCATGGCCGTATTCGCCAATAGCTTGTTAAATTTTATTGGAATCTACCGACTATCTCAAAGTACGGAAGGTCCGAACTTACAGTATTGTGCGAATTAATGGAATCATAGGCTGTTTTATTGAAAAAACAGTTTATTTAGTAAAAAATTATATTTTGACAAAAATATAAAGGTAAACTTACATCATTCAGTAGGAAATATGTCCCCCTTTGGGAGCAATTACTGCTTTTACCCGTTTTGGTATAGATTCTGTCAGATGAGTTTCTGTCAGTTGTCAGATATCCTTTCATCTCGATACCAAACCTAAATGGAAGCTTCTATCATTTTTGTTTTAGTGGTACAGTCGATTTCTCGCAGTCTAGCTTTGCAAATGGCCCATAAATTTTTAGAGACCTGTTGAAGAATCGTTCCTCCTTGGGGTTGACATTTTTGGAGTTGTTTGTCCAAATACTTTTCCAACATGGATTTGTATTTTTTGGCTGTTCATCATGCCTTAAATTGGCACCAAAGATCCAACTCCCATGTATGAAAAACATCCCCAAAACATTTTCTTGACTGGATGTTTTACGGTTTGATCAATATGAGATGGTGTAAGCTTTTCATTGTCAGACTTCCTGACGAATTTCGACCGCTGTCCCTTAACTATAAAGTGGGTTTCATCTGTAAATAGGACTTTTTTCCAGTCACCTACAGTCCAATTAGAGTATTTTTGGCCCACAGTAGCCTTTGTTTCTTCATTCGTTCAGTTAGAAGCTGTTTTTTCTGTGGACGAATTGCTCTTCTACCATTCTCCAAAAGTCTGCTACGAACAGTTGAGTCATGAATCACTATAGCTGATGCTGCTAGATCTTGTCGTAGGTCTTTGCTTGATTTTCTTGGGTCCAATTTGCTCTTTCGAAGTAAACATCTATCATCTGCTGGTGTTGTTTTTCTCTTTCTTCCACATTTTCCTAACCTTTTCATATCCACTGATCCCGTTTCTCGTTTACGCTTCAAAATTTTGCTTACTACCCCCTGACTCACTCCACACGTTCTAGCAATCTCTCTTTGTGACATACTAGTGTGTTCACTCAACGTGACAATCTTTTCACGCTTCCTAGGCGTAATATCCATGTTGGAATAAAACCAAAAACAACACAAAATAGTACAAAAACCCTCAAAACAACACAAGCTTGGTAAGAAATGACCTAAAACACACTCAAACACACCAGCACACAGTAAGGTTATGTTTTCAATGCTTGGTCAGCTCTCAACTGTGTAGGTAGTGTTTGCCAACTGTGAATATTGAAAAAATGAAAAAAAATTCACAGTAATTTCATTAATTCGCACAATACTGTATCAAAGGAGGTCAAAATAGTATACTTTATTGTAGGGCTTAGGATCTTCTTTTCTGGTTCCAGGCGGGTTCTCTTTGATACTTTGGCAAACAAAGTCATAAAAAGTATTTCATAGTATTTTTCTGTAAGAACCTAATCCAAAAGGTTAAATATCTCCTCACGTTTCTTCTCGTTATTTCCTATGTCGTTCGAACCTTTTTACCTTCCTAGAAATACATACAAGATGACCTGTCATTTTTAAGTGGGAGCTATCCCACTTTATTTTTGGAAAGCTTGTGAAATTTAGAGAGAAAGAACAGTACTTCTGACTGGGCAGTCTTTAAGTAAAGACGGTTTTTGAGAAAAGACGCTTGCTTATCATACCGTTCCTTTGTTATCTTACCGTCTCTGTGATTTTTTTCTTTAAGTGTGTATACACTTAAATATATGAGTATCTTAATCTAATACCATATAAGATTAAATATTGGTATTATAGTAGAAGCAGCGTAATAGTGCAGCAGTCATCAAGATTTATCGTAAGTTATCGTAATCATATTACCTTCAATTATCTGGGCGAATAATATGATATGTAATCTTATTACCTGTAATATAATATGGTACTCATATTACCCAATGCTGGACGAATCTGAGTTTAACCATTTTATCACGTTTAGTTAAGGTTAGCTACCGATTTAGCAATTTCAATAAAAGAACATTTAATATTTTCTTACGAACTTTCAATCAGCTATTAAGAAAGGAAAGGGAAGCATTGTAACCATTTAGGTTTAGGAGTTGGACGTATTTCTGTAAGGAAGCCGATACGCCAGCTGTTGAAGTCTGATAGCACCTAAATTACCCATGTTTAGGATTAACAGAAAATGAAAAGGAATTCTTATTGCTGCAAATATTACAGCTGTTTCTCGTCCTAGAGGTGTTCTCGGTATTGGAGCGCCGAAACCGAATGTTGTAAGAAGTGAAACGGTAAAAAGAACACATCCAGGATACGTCCAAATATTTCCGTCGCCTCCTTCTCCGAAACCAGCTCCGACTGCTTCAAGAAAGACTTTTTCGTGTCTTTCGAAATATTTGTGGATCAAATTCGACCACACTTCCTGGTGGTCTTCAGTCTGTTTGAGGTCTATAGATAATTCTACTGAGAGATCTCTTTGAATTTTCGCTAATGTTTCAGCTTGTCGAAGCTCCCTGGGACCTTCCGTATTAAAAAAAAAGCATACGCGCCAAGCAATGCCCAAATCACTAAAATCATGCTCAATCCTATCTGCGACAAAATCCATTAACTAAATAATCTACAGCAACATGCTAACTTAAGGGCACAGCTCTTTTCGGAAGGACTTAGTTTTACTTCGCAATCCGTTCCTGGAACGAACCATTTAGGTGCCATCAGACTTCAACAGCTGGCGTATCGGAACTGCCTTACAGAAACAGCTATTAAGAACTCCTGAATAAGAATTATTATTAACATTTAATTCTCAGTAAGGACTGTTAGTCATTAAATAACAGTGCGAGACAGATAATTAACTTAAAACCAAGTGCGGGTTGGTTTAATTTTTATACTTCAGAATTCTAGTAACCTTTTGTTATTTTTTAAAATTTAAATTTAATCAAATTTGTTATTTGCTGTAATTGTTATACATTTTTAAACTTACCCATTGTAACTTTGTACCCGTTATCTCGAGATAAGCCCATAAACAGCAAAGAGAGATTCCTTTAATCAGTTTTAGTTGAATATTTTTAAATAGCATCAGGCTCTCTTTGCTGATGATTTAAACTGTGCATGATTTTGTTATATTGTATTTGTAAACTTATTCCTCATTCATAATATTGTTTATTTCTATATGTATATCACCATTTAATAATTGATGGTGCATTTCTTTTACTTGTGTTTACATTCAGATTTAAAATCATCAGATTTATCCAAATTTAATCGTGTTGTTGAATATATTGTTTTGTTTTATCAATGGATTTTATTTCTAGACTCCTAATTAGTTTCCTGATAAAATAATACCTCTAAACATTTGTTTTTTACATTAAATTATTATTATACCTTCGACCAAAAGAGAGATCAGGCTGATTAAGTTTCGTGGGTAAGTAGGTGGGCGGAGTCCACCTAATATATTTATTATTGGTTTATGTAGTGTATTGACCAAATTTATTTAATATATTTAATAATTAACTGTTGATATCTTTTCTTGGGTTTGGTCTCAGAACCTAAATATATTTCCTTATCTCTTTTCGTTTCTAGGGTTTCTTGGTCTCCATTAGTGACATTTCTAGCACCATTTAAAAAAAGGTTTCCGAGGTTACAACCTACTTAAAAAATAGGCATTTAATTAAGTATAATATATTGAAATCTTGTTAAAATTTTCGATGATTTATTAAATTTTCACTATTCATCTATAAGGCCGCCTGGAGCTACGGTTTTCGGCATAAGGGCTCTAAAATATGCACTAGAAGGTATAACTACATATTACACAACCTATTTTGACTCAGAATATATTATGTCCTTGAGAAAAACAAAACCCTTTAAATTAGTTAATGTTATAAATATAAAAACCTTTATTCTTCCAAACCCAAAATTTTCCTGGAAAAATATGAACAACTTCTTGCTATCACAGGAGTTATAGCGTGGATCCAGATTTCCACGATTTCTATAAAAATTTGTTACCTGAAATTTCCAAAAAACTAAAGATAAATAGGTAGTGTAAATAAAACATCTCCTTGTTTGTATAAGATTTTTATTTGTTGAATGTTTCTGTTATTTTGCCGAATTATGCATTTAAGTTCTTAAAATATCGTAGAAACTGATGGAATCGAAGAAAGCTGGGCGAAAATTAAAGCAAGCATCCTAGATTCAGCAAAAGAAGCTGTAGGAGAAAAAAAAATTCTTAAAAATAAATATTTCCAAAAGCGGAAAACTCCGTGGTTCTGCGCAGAAGTGAAAGAAAAATGCAAAGAAAAAAAGAAAGCTTACTTAAGATACATGTCTAACAAAACACCACAAGAATACAACAATTACAAAAAGATAAGAAACGAAACAATACCACTAGTAAGAAAAATTAAAAACGAACACTGGGAACGCTTCTCAAAAGAAATGGAACACGACTTTTACGGTCTACAAAAGGAAATCGTTTCATAAGAGGCCAAAGATCAGAGATAAAAGACTTAATCGAACCGAAACACATAGATAACAACACATGGATTAAATACCTAAAGAAGCTTTATAATGATGAACAGCAAATGATGTTAGAACCAGAAACACCAGAAATCATTACAAACGAGGAAGTCGAGATAATTGTACAAGAAGTAAAACAAACTTTAGAAAAACTGAAGAACAGAAAAGCTGCAGGTAAAGATGGAATTCCAAATGAATTATTGAAATATGGTGGAGAAGCATTAACAGAACAGCTAACAGCACTAATTAACAAAATCATCAAACATAATAAAATACCTGAAGAGTAAAAGAAAAGCGAGCTTATCCTACTATACAAAAAAGGGATAAAAAACAACCTGAAAACTACAGAGGTATCAACTTATTAAACACCACTTTGAAGCTTACAACCAAAATATTGCAAGGCCAAATAAATCAGAGAATTACCTAAGCGGATGAACAGCAGGGTTTTCGCACAGGAAGATCGTGCACATATGCAGTATTCATCATAAAACAGATTACCGAGAAAGCACTAGAGTATAACAGACCAGCATTTTTATGTCTAATAGACCTGAAGAAAGCGTTCAATAAAGTAAAGCTTAAAGATGCAATTCACCTTCTTTATGATAGAGTAATTCCACTAAATGTTATAAAAACAATAGAGAACATTTACCAGAACAACAATATGGAAGTCAGAATAGATGACCAGCTTACAGATCCAATAGATATGGGCAATGGAATAAGACAAGGAGACTCGCTTAGTCCAACGCTATTCAATCTAATCATGGATGAAATCATCAATACTATTAATAAAGGAAGAGGATACAAAATGGGGAACAAAGAAATCAGAATACTCTGCTATGCAGATGATGCGGCCCTAATTGCATCCAATGAAGACGATCTACAAAGACTAACCCATAGATTCAACACAAGGGCAAAGGACTTTAATATGGTGATCTCTACACAGAAAACTAAAACAATTGTAATCAGTAAAGAACCAATTAGATGTAAACTGAAAATCGACGGTATCAGCATTGAGCAAGTAATGTAGACAAATTACCTAGGAATTACACTGTCTAGCTACGGAGATGTGGAGAAGGAAGTGAAAAATTAAGTACAAAAGGCTAATAAAATAGCAGGTTGTCTTAATAACACGATATGGCGCAATCCCCACATTAATACCGACGTGAAATCAAGAATCTACAAAGCAACAATACCACCAATAATGACATACACTTCAGAGACAAGACCGGATACCTCCAAAACTCAACAGCTACTAGAAACAGCGGAGATGCGTTCACTGAGGAGAATTACAGGAAACACACTGAGGGATCGAATGAGGAGTGAAGAGATCAGAAGAAAATGCAATATACCAGAAATAAATGAGTGGACACTGAACAGAAAAAAGGAATGGAACGAACACATAAACAGAATGGAAGAGACCCGATTAGTCAGAATAGCGAGGGACAAATCACCAAAAGGTAGAAGAAGTATCGGGCGACCACGCAAAAGATGGAGTGATAACCTCCAATAGAGGCATTAATCGACATTGAACAAGCATTTTGCTTATAAAAAAGAAGAAGAAGAAAAAGGAGTTCTTAAAATTAAGTTTTTGACCATTTCTGTATTTTTGTTAATAAATTATTTAGTGTAAGACAAAACATAATATTTTAAAAACAGTCAAATTTTCAAAGAAATGATGATAAATAGTTTTATGACCAACTTTCGTTTATAAAAGATTTGTATTTGATAATATATAAATTTTTTTTAATCACAAATTCACTCAGATGCACTTACGAGGTATTCCTTCGCTATGAAGTAGGTCCAAATACCATCACAAGGCAATAACGATATGAACAGCTAAAGTAATAATTAGAAAGACAAATCATTACTAAACAAACCGACAATTTTAGATAACTCTGCATCTCTTGAGACATACTACTATGATAAAGAGCAAAATGATAAAAGTAGTGTATGGACTTATTAGAATAAGGTAAGACGAATGACCACTCACTGAAAAAACTAGCTTCAGTAAGGAAAGGAAAAAAAGATGGAAGCTTCAAAAGATAACAAGAACATTTGATTTTAGTATCCCACAAAAATAAAACACAATGCCTTGTTTATTTAAATAACATATTTCTAATTTTTGTTCACCAGAACACAATATTAATGAAGCAGTAAAAATACTTTTCTATAAAGTTATTTTTTCAAAACAGAAAACATAAATCAAACAAAACTAATATTTTACCAGATCTTAAATAAATAATGTAAATGTGTTTTATATGACAAACCACATTAAACTAGCATGAAACGATAATGGTAGTCTAAACAGAAAACTACGGTTTGTTTAAGTATTTACCGAGTTATTATGGATATTGTAGATTATTTATTCATAAAAGAAAAACATTGAATTATTGATGGGTTTTTATGACAAATTGGCGTAAATTAGTACTCAAAAGCCACCTAGATTCGTACAAGTTCGATGGATAATCGATCAAATTGTTTTGTGATAGATATGTAAGTTTAACAATTGTATATATCAAGCCTTACTTACTATTGAAAATAATTTTACATTATAATGTTCGAGGGGAAACATTTTTTACGTATGAAGTTTTAAATATACCTTAAAATGGGGTGAAATTGATCACTCTAAAATTAGTAATTCAAAAATATGAACTACATTTTTTACTAATATGATTCAACAAGATCTATATTAAATATTAGCTTATAATTTGGATAAAATACGAATTTTTTTTTGTTGTTTCAAATGTAGAATTTTGTTTATATCTAAAATTTAAACAAAACTGCAGTGTAAAAGTATTACTTCTTTTGAACAAAGAACTGTAAGTTTAATTTTCTTATTTCATCTATACCAAGTTAAGGGTAAACAACTATTTCGGCGATTTAGCGTGAGAACAATTACCAGTTCTTTCGATAATGATCCATTATAAGCACCAGGGCCATATTCAGGTTACTTGGCTCAAGCATGGAAATAGATTCAGTAGCGGGATCTTCCGCCATAAAAAGTTCTGGAAGTCCACTTGTAAACCAACTATCAAAATTATACTCTACAGCTCTTAGTCAACCTACAAATAAATTTCCAAACAAAAAACAAGCAATTCTACT